TTCGTCTCTCAATACCACCTTAAATTGTCTTGTGCTACTTCTAGATTCTACAGCTTTTTCTGCAATACTGGTTACTTATCATGCTGTAATGCTCGAAGGTTCCAGATGCAAATTTCGGAAAATACTCCGTGGACAGAGTTCTGGTTGATGAAGAGGCTGTTGGTACACTAGATACACCTGGACGTGGAGCAAAAATTCTCCGTGAAAACGCTGGGTCAGAAGAAATTGCTAGTCAAACAAAATCAAGAGTTACAAAGGTATGCACTCTTATTCCCATGTACATTGACTTCTGAGCTCCTCGGTAGCCAGTCTTCGGCTGTTTTATGCTTTAATTCTTGCATTAACTGCAAGTTGAAGTTCTAGGAATTGAATACGTAGACATTATTTTTCTCAGTATCACCGGCCACCTTCCTTTATTGGCATTTTGACTTGATTACATGAACATATGTTTAATTCCGCCCCCTCTGCAGTCATCAAGGGTTGTGGTACCAGATGGAGCTAAAAAAGCGACCATGCCATTGTAACTTTTTCTTGCTTCCTTATTTTGAGTATTACCTAAAACCGTCTTCCAGCGTAGTTGTCATATTTTATGGACCAACCTCTTTCGGGTGTTCTACTGTTGGCTCAAAGTCTGGAGAATCACCCGATCACTGCCGTTTTAACGGTCTTCCATTCTTAGGAATATAAACTCTATTGTGGCCATTTTAGCATTAGAGTGACTAGACACTGTAATTGGATTATCCACATAAATTTTGTTTCATTTTGCCCTCTTTTTTTTGACCTTTCTAATATTTGACTGAATTACAGGAAGAAGGTACACCAACGAAGGGAATCACACAGGAAGACTTAGATGATTCAGTAACAGCCATGAGCCTGTAATGTATCTTTTTGAGTGTATGTCAACTTACTTTGTATATATGCATAATCTTATAATTTTGTGAGATGCAGTTTTTCTGTCCCAATTTTTTCCTGTCTTAATGGTAGCCTTTCTTGAGAAGCCGGCGATATGTGTGGGCTATATTTATTTATTTTTAATTTTTAAAAGAAATAATATTTAACATAAAAGAATTAAAAAAATATCATTCCCGTTAAAAAAAAATACAACAGTTCACATATTTCATCATATTTTATTAAAATCTACAGAAAATTAATTTTAATCTAAATCAAGCAGGGGTTAATGTCTATTTGGGAGGGCTTTTTTGAAGTATTTATTGGAAGCCCAAAAGTTCTTTTTCTTAAAATAATGGACTTTGGTTAAAGCGAAAAAGTGTTTGTTGACATTTTAAAAAATAATAATTAATATTAGCTGGTTTTTAATGAAAAATTTAAATTGACAAAACTATCTCTCCTTATTAAAAGACTAGTCTATTGCCCGTGCAATGCACGGGCAATGTGATTACGGAAGTAATGTTAACGTTCAAAAAAAAAAAAAA